TCATTGCTCCCTTTTTGTTATCTATTTAGTTCAGATTAATTTATCAGCATGTTTATTTAGTTTTCTTTTGGCTATTTTTGATTTTTCTGTTGTCAGTTTGTTTTCCCGTCTCTATTAAGACCTTTTACTTGGTTGTTTGTTTAGTCTGTTATGATAATTTCATATAGAAGTATACATATTTCAATGTGATTAACGTCGTCAAATCAATAATGCCTGTTTTCTTGTATCGTTGCAAATTGTCAAGAACAGTGTTATGCTTTGTTTTGTGTTGTTTTGTTTGGTCGACTGCTTGTCCTCTGTCACAATTAGTACAGTTGAGTCGATATATGTCGCCAATTAGTTTAGCTTTGAACAATAATAATCTGATTCATATTATGGTTTTGTGTGAAGTTCTGTCTGAATCCAATTGGGAACTAAGTATAGCTGTTTGTGGATTTGAATCAGAAATATTTATAGTTAGTTTGTGGGTTTCAGTTCAGTTTGAGTTCTGAATTGATAGCATGTGCACTATAGTGCTTTAATAATTAGAGCAAATGGGACAGCATGGGCTGTCAGGCCACTTTCAGGCTGCCCATACCTTGGTTTTAATTNCATGTGCTGTCAGAACACACCCCTGCTGCCCATACCCTGATTTGGTTTAGAAATAATAAACCCTACTTAAAAAGATAGATCTGCCAGGAGAATATCATGGGAGGGGTTTTTTATTTTATTTGGGAGTGGGAAAGATAGCAGGCCACATGGGAGGAGTCTGAATTGTCTAACAGGATGTAAATGGCCTGATGCTAGGCTATAAATAGAAGAACTTCCATTAGCTTAAGGAGATAGGGAGACAGAGATATACTCAGGGAGATATACAGAAAAGATAGAGAGGGAGACTAGAAAGACATATAGAAAATAGAGGCATATACAGGGATACACATTGAGAGATACACACACACAGACACACATAAGGAACACAGACAGATAGATAGAGGGGAGAGATAGAAAACACACTGACAAAATCAGAAACTGTTCTTCCCATTTGTTGTTTTGATTTCACTTGTTTCGACCTGTTTATTCAATACTGATTTCTCCAAGTCCCAACTGAGGTTACTGGTTGTGTGTTTCATTGGTTTATTTCTAGATTTGGTCTGTCTGAGCTCTGATTCTACTCCACTGCTTCTTGCTGTCATTTTGCTACACTTTCCCTTGGTCATAGTTGCACCCTTGCATTGGGATTGTTCTGCTGTTATTTGTTGCTACTGCTGCTGCTCGTTGCTTTATTTGTGATCACTGCTGTCATCTGAGTTTGTTGCTAACTTGCTGCTTCTATTTTCTTCTTTGCATTTCAGCATCCAGGTACACATTTTCGAATCTCATATTGATGTAACAATAGCAATGATCTGAAATGAAAGCCGCTAAGAATTTTTAGTCCTTTGGTACTGCACCCATAGTCTTATAAAGTGTTAGTAAATTCGCGCAAATCTTCAGATTGTAACTCGATAGGAAGATAAAGCAGGTAGTTTTGTATTTAAAACTGGGTCTGTTTAATTATCTTAACTTACAATGGTTTACCTTGTTTAATTGTGTGTGTGATGTGATTACGTAATTCGTGGAATGTACGAGTAATTGGTACACCAAAAACTACACTTCATTCTTAGTTATGTTCTGCACGTATAAGATGGATTGCTGTTAACCTGGACAAATGCAACATTAGTTTTAAACTATTCAACTTAATTCCTTCACATCCGAATTCCACTAGGCAGTTTGAATCTAATTAATAGCAGTTTTCTAATAAATAGTCGATTCCATTAATCAAGCCCAAATAAGCTAGTTTAAATTCAAACTTGAAGGCCGTTTAGTGTAAGTTTAGTATATGTTATTCGTCTTGCTTGCAATCTCCCTTAAGCAAATTAACAACGTATTCACTCTTTGAAGTAAGGCATGAGGCGATTCCCACCTCATAAACAACCAATCAGATAATTAAACAAGAATCCAGAATCGGCCAAGCATGCAATTTACTTAGAACGTAATTTCTTTCTCCATTTATTAGCGACAAACATAATAAAAATATAATCATCGTAGGCGTACTTGCTTCACAAAATGAGATGAGCCTCGTTAAATAAGAGACACAAACTTGCGGGGCCCTCATAAATGTATATATGTATATTGAATACTTAGAATTTGGGATGGGCTATTTAGTGTATTTCACTACCTTCTCTAAAGATAATAACGCGTTAGACTCTTTAGGCGTGACTTAATTAAATTACATTCTTTAATTCGGGTGAGCATTTATGTGACCCAAATTCAAATCTCAACAGAGTCGAAATGTGTTAACAACTACAGGTGCATTGATTGTGACGTGGTTCGAGATGCATTTTCACGACGTTGCAATTCAATAAAAAATAAATGATAATAATAAAAGCGGTTTAAACTTAATAAAAGCACATAAGTCACAACATGTATTTAAATCAGATATTTAGCCATTATAACAATTTAAGCGACCGTGCTAGAACCACGGGATTCGAGGGTGCCTAACACCTTCCCTCGGGTCAACAGAATTCCTTACTTAGAATTTCTGGTTCGCAGACTTCATTTGGAAAAGTCGAAAATTTCCTCGATTTGGGATTCAAGATAAACCGGTGACTTGGGACACCAAAAGTCAAACCTTTCCCAAGTGGCGACTCTGAATTAAATAAATAGTCCCATTTCGAATATTGTCACTTAAATTAGAAAAACTCCCCTCGCGCATTTAACCCTTCGGGGCGGGCGCGCAAAAAGGGGGTGTGACAACATGTTCACCAAGTAGAAAGCATCATTTACTGCTTTTGCCCAGAATTTATTGGCGATTCCATAGTCGGTGAGCATTGTCCATGCCACATCTTCCAGTTCCGTTCTTTCTTTCATCAATACCATTTTGCTGTGGAGTCCTTGGTGTAGAGAAATTGTGCATGACCCCCATCCTTTTTGCTTTCACTTGAATCTTCTTGACAAGAACCATTAACACCTCGAGAGTCTCCTTCTTTGTTTTGTGAACCGTGTCCATATGACTCTTGAGTTTGGCAGACCACGCACCAGGTCCTTCTGAGTTAATTTATTCGGAGGTGAGAAGCTTGCATTCACCAATCTTTTATGCCAAGGTTCCGACTTCACCCATCTCATACCACCGACTTATGGAGATTCATAGTTAACAGAGTGGGTGTTCTATTTCCTTTGTCTACTGAGACCATTTGGCAAGTTATCAGATTGGTAACTATACTTTTAGTCCATTCACATAGTACAGATTCCCACCTGAGTGCCAAAAAACCTTTCCAACTTTACATTCGCCGAGAATGTACCCTCTACTTCCTTTTTAAGGATACATTCCCTTCAAGCAAGGCTTTCAGTGAGAGGAAATTCATGATGTTTTTAGTCACGTGCTTTAAGCATTCATAGTCCATAGTCCATCGTAGTCTGCTTCCTCTCACTGCTCCCTATACATGCAAATCAAGGGTTAGATTTAGGAACCCAAACTAGTTTGGGTCCCTTGCTATGATAGAAAGGATGAATGATGGCTTTCCTAGTCCATGCAGGCAACATCCGCTTCTTGCGAGTGGTACCTGGTCCCTTGTTAGTATTCACTTTATCAGTAAACACTTTGTTTTTCTGAGCAGACTGAACCCTAGCCTGGCAATTTTCTTTAAAATGCCCATTGTTCCCACAGTGGGTACATAGCCAGTTATCAGGTACAGTGACGTATTTGCTGTGAGGGTTGTAAGGAGTTTTCTCCCTTTGGAACCTGATGCCTGTTTCCACTATTGTTAAGATACATGGTAGTGACAGCATCTGAGGACCAGGTCCACTTCAGGGATTTCTCAAGATCAATTCTTACTTTCTCCAATTCAGCTTGAAGTTGTTGATTCTTCTCGAGTTCACTACATAGGCTAGTTTTCACAACAGCTAATTCCTTTTCAAGCATGATGTGTGACTTACTAGCTATTTCCTTCCCTTTCCCAAGACTCACATTCCTATGTTCCCTATTGAGTTCCTCAATGGTTTCCTCTAGATCGGTGCATATCACTAAAAGGTTATCCCTCTCTTCCTCATTAGTTGCAATTTTTCATTCTAGGGAGTGTTTCTCATTGCTAAGACCCTCTATTGTTTCTTTTAGGTCAACAACTACTACCATCAAGTCATCTCTCTCATTTTCCATGCTAGTTATTCTTTCATTCAAGGCATCCTTTTCTTTTTCTAGATTAGCTATGGTCTCATTTAGGTCCACTACACAGACCACCAGATCATTTCTAGATTGTTCGGCCTCTCCTGGTTCTATGGTCAAGACCTCCTTATCATTAACAAGGCTATAATAGACATCAATTAGGACATTAGCTAACAACCTTAGCTTCTTAGAAGAGTAGGATTTCAGATTTCTCTAAACATTCCTGAAGTTTACCTCATCTTCTTCATCATCATCAGACTGAGCCATCAGCATGAATAGTGAATCATACTTCATTGCTTCAGTTTCCACTGCCATCACGGAACTGTTTTCTGCATTTGGTTCCCTTTTGGATTCACTAGAGGAGTCTCCCCAAGCAGCAAGAGCCTGCTTAACAATATTGTCCACAGCACTTTTTCGATTGAATCGTTTGTCTGGAACCAGGTTCCTTTTTGCTGCTTTGTCAGGATTTTGCTTGTATTGATCCTGTTTCGTGAGTGGGCAGTCTTTGATGAAATGCCCTGGCTTTCCACATCTGTGACAGAGATCGTTGTTCCTTGCTTTACTTGAACTGCCCCATTTTGGTATACCCCAATTTCTTCGAACCATCTTTTGAAATCTCTTAGTAAGATAGGCCATGTCACTATCTTCATCACTTGATTCACTGCTTTCAGCTTTGAGTACCAGGTTCTTTCCCTTCTTAGGCTCTCTTCTTTCACTGTCTTTCTTTCTTTTCATCTCGTATGTCTTCAGATTACCAATAAACTCATCCATGTTCAGAGTTTGTAGATCTTTAGCTTTAGTGATGGCATTTACCTTACTTTCCCAAGAACCAGGTAGAACACTAAGGATTTTCCTTACAAGCTTGTTTCTAGAAATGACATCTCCAAGTGAATGAAGCTCATTTATGATGGAGGTAAATCTTGTGTGCATATATTGTATAGACTCATCATCCTTCATCCTAAAGAGCTCATATTCCGTGGTGAGCATGTCGATCTTGGACTGTTTGACCTGAGTAGTTCCTTCGTGTGCTGTTTGCAATGCTTCCCATATTTCTTTGGCAGTGTCACAAGCTGAGACTCTATTGTACTCATCAGGTCCTATGCCACACATCAAGATTTTCTTGGCACGATAGTTCTTTTCTATAGCTTTTCTATCAATGTCGCTGTACTCTTTTCTGCCTTTCGGCACCATTGGTCCTGTTTCTTCAAGCTTCTTCATGGGGATATGTGGACCATCATAAATTATGTCCCACAGTTATGAATCTTCTGCCATCATAAAATCATGCATGCGGGTCTTGTACCAGCCATAGTACTGACCATTGAATATGAGAGGTATGTAGGTTGATTGTCCTTCCTCAAAGTTGGGTGGAGCAGCCATTGAGATCTTTTCTAGGTGTTAACCTTTTAGAAAGAACCTGCTCTGATACCAATTGTTAGTTTATATGAGTCCACCAAACTGTAGAGTACCCGGTCCTCTATATGATAATGCTAAGAAGCTTCTGAAAACTGGAAGTAAAGAAGACAAGGGATTTTTACGTGGAAAAATCCCACACAAGGGGTTCAAAAAACCACGACCTACTCTTGTAGACTTTTAACTTCACTAACTTGCAATCTCCCGATTACAAGCCACTTTGCAATAACCCTATTACAAAGACTTCAACTAACTTGTGATGCTCTCACCACAAGCCACTTTATAACTCTCATAGTTACAAAGGCTTTAAATTTATGACTATTCCTAGTCACAACATAAACTCGGAAGTTTACGGATTTTTGGTTTTTTCCTAAGACAAAGTTTCTAAGAAAGCATACTAGGAAATACAATAAATAAAAAATGACAAGATTACGACTCAACTACGGATATACATAAACTCAATAACAGACTGATCCTTAGTGGAGTTGTCTTCTTGTTCTTGACACACCAGTGACTTCAATGCCGGATAAACACTGTTATGCTTGAGAGAATATCACTGAGTACATAAAGGATGTTGTGTCTTGCACTAGGTTGTTATATCACAAAAGACATCACAATAGATAGTGGTGTCAATTCTTAGTACATGCTTTTTCCCAATGATAAGTGACTGATGTACTGTCTGCACAACCACTTCTATGCAGTTGCATTCCAGCAGGATAGTCGACTTGTACTTTTGTTAGAGAACAATATCGGACTAGGTCCTAGTTGTGTTCCTCTTCTGTAACAGTGACGAGATGGTCACTTTCTGCTGCTATGTTCCAGCTGTACAATTGACCTGTACTTCTGTTAGAGAACCCTAAGGGACTAGGTCCCTGTTGTGTTCCTTTTTATAATGATTGTGGATAGTCACTGACTTGTACTTGTGTCAGAGAACCCTAAGGGACAAGGTCACCAGGTCCTTGTTGTGTTCCTCCCTGTGGTCATTCATTTATTTGCTGATTTTTAGACTTGGACCAGGTTAGTTGAAATGTACACCATGTGGGCCAGTTTCTCTATCTGGTTCTTTACAACAAGTTTGTTAGATCATCAAAACATAAGAAGCATTAGGCAAAGACATTGAAAACCCATCAAATTTGGAGATGATTCACAAATAAAAGTTGTAGCTCTTCGTATCTAGTTTCCAGAAAGGTAAAGAAATTATCATTTGGACATTTGTACATAAAGTTATGGTCATTTTACTAAATCCTAGTTGGGCAGAATTTGCTAAAGTGCGACCGCACAATTTGGATCGCGTCCGCAGGACCTGGGATGTGCGACCGCACTTGAAAATGTACGATCAACACTTTGGAAGGCAGCTTTGGTACTATATATGGATATTATTTCACATTTTGGACTTTGGGAGCTCGGTTTGTGATAATTTTTTGTGGGGTTTTCAAGAAAATTATCGGGGTAAGTGATTCTAACTCAGATTTAGTTAATATATATGATTATATCACTGATTTTATCATTTAATTAGCACGTTGAGATTGAAATTTGAGAAAAATTGTAGAAACTTCATAAATTATAAATTGGGGATTTGAAGGTCGAGTTGTAATCAAAATTGGCTAATTTTGGTATGACTAGACTCGTGAGTGAATGTGTGTTCATATTTCATGACTTTTATCCGATTCCAAGACGTGGGCTTGGGGCCCGAATTTTGTGTAAACTTTTGACTTAAATCTTAGTTTTTTTCTTATGGAATTGATTCCTTTAGCTCGTGTTGATTGTATCGAATTGTTTGTGGCTAGATTTGGGCCATTCGGAGACAGAAATCGTGGAAAAGGCATTCTTACTGATTGATTGAGTTTGGTTCGAGGTAAGTGGCTTGCCTAACCTTTTGTGGGGGAAATCCCCTTAGGATTTGGTATTGTTGTGTTATGTGAGCATTGTGTACGCGAGGTGACGAGTGCATACACGGGCTATTTTTTTGTAAAAATTCGATTTTACAGAGTAGTAACCTATTTTCATCTTATTTGAGTTATACCAGCATGTTTAGTTATACTGTTTAGTCTAATATCACATGTCTACGTGCTTTGACTGCTTATTTGAACTTTGTGCAGAATGCCTAGTTGATTCCCTATTTTCCTTGATTTGTATCTGTCTTAATTCGAGAACTTTTGTTGTTAATTATTGTATTTATCGGTTTGAGCTGTGTGTTTACTTTTGGGACTACGAGGCAGTACCTCGGGAGATCCCCTTGCATATTTACTTTTGGGACTACGAGGCAGTACCTCGGGAGATCCCCTTGCATATTTACTTTTGGGACTACGAGGTGGTAGCTCGAGAGATCCCCTTACACATTTACTTTTGGGACTATGAGGTGGTACCATGGGAGATCCCCTTACACATTTACTTTTGGGACTATGAGGTGGTACCATGGGAGATCCCCTTACACATTTACTTTTGGGACTACGAGGCGGTATCTCGAAGATCCCCCTGCATATTTATTTTTGGGACTACAAGGCGGTACCTCAGGAGATTCACCTGCATATTTACTTTTGGGACTACGAGGCGGTACCTCGGGAGATCCCCCTGCATATTTACTTTTGGGGCTACGATGTGAAACCTCGGGAGATCCCCCTGCATATTTATTTTTGGGACTACGAGGCAGTACCTCGGGAGATCACCCTGCATATTTACTTTTGGGACTACGAGGCGGTACCTCGGGAGATCCCCCATGCACATTACTTTTGAGACTACGAGGCGGTACCTCGGGAGATATTCTTGCATATTTACTTTTAGGACTACGAGATGGTATCTTGGGAGATCCCCTACTAATTTATCCATGTGTACTATACTATTATTTGCTGTGGTTCCCTCTTTTTTAATTCCAGTCTTTTATTACACTACAATATTTTTCTACTTTATTTATTTTATATATATATCAGTAGGGCCCTAACCTGACCTCGTCACTACTTGACCGAGGTTAGGCTTGGCACTTACTGGGTACCGCTACTCTTACTCTTCTGTGGTGTACTCATACTAGTCTTCTGCATAACTTTATGTGCAGATCAAGGTACATCTTATTAGCCACGTCATTAGTGAGTAGTGGCAGTTGGAGACTTCAAGGGATATCTACTGCATCCGCATACCTCAGAGTCCACCTTTATTCACCTATGTCATTTACCCTTCCGTACTTTTTCTTAGACTCTGGTGTATAGAGATACTAGTTTTTATTGTGTAGCTTGTGACTTATGATGTTTTGGGATTCGAAAAAAATACTAAGTATACTCGAGTGTTGGTCTTTGTAAATGCCGAGCGACATTTTAGTCAGTTAATTAATTATCTATTGCAGTTAGTTATTAAAGTTTTACTTTAATTTTTGTTATTTCCACAAATTTTAGGCTTACCTAGTCGTAGAGACTAGGTGCCTTCACGACATCTCATGTAGGGAGGATTGGGTCCTGATAAGTTGGTAACAAAGCTCTAGGTTCATAGGCGTTCTGAGTCACAAGCAGGTTTAATAACGTCTCGCGGATCAGTATAGAGACGTCTATACTTATCTTCGGGAGGCTATGGAACTGTTAGGAAAATTTTCCTTTCTTTTGATCCCTTGTTGTGCGAAATTGTTGACTTCAAAATTCTAAACTTCTGTCTTTTATTCTCTCATAGATGGCAAGACACGTACAGCTGGATCAGATGACCAGGCACCCGCACCCCCTGCTAGAGCCGCGAGAGGCCGGAGCCGGGGTAGAGGCTGAAGACATCCACGTGGTTTAGCCAGAGCACCTACACGAGCTGCTACAGAGGAGCCACCAGTAGCTCCAGTCGGATCGCAGGCACCTAAGATGCCTATTACTACCATCTCTTCAGGAGACCCTTGCACAGTTCCTGAGCATGTTCGGCACTCTAGCTCAGGCAGGATTGATTCCACTTGCTCCTGCCACATCTCAAACCGGGGGAGGAGCACAGACTCCCGCCGCCTACACCCCAAAGTAGCGGGTTCAATTCGATCAGGTTCTAGAGGCTATAACAGTGCAGCCAGTAGCCCTTATTCGACCCGAGGGTAGGGCAGGGCTTCTGATGAGGAGCAACTCAAGTTCGAGAGGTACAAGAAGTACCACCCTCCTACTTTTAGTGGCTTGGCGATAGAGGACGCCCGAGGTTTTTATAAGGAGTGCCACCGTATCCTCCATACTATGGGTGTAGCAGAGTCAAGTAGGGTTTCTTTCACTGCGTTCCAGCTTAGAGGAGCAGCCTATCAGTGGTGGCGTGCTTATGAATTGACAGTCCGGCTGAGGCAACTTCATTTACTTGGACTCAGTTCTTGAGGGAGTATGTTCCATAGAGTCTCAAAGATGCATGGAGCGTAGAGTTTGAGTAGTTGCGCCAGGGTTCTATAACTGTGTCAGAGTATGTTGTTCGTTTAAGTGGTTTGGCTAGGCATGAACCAGCCTTGGTTGCTATAGCTCGAGAGAAGGTCCGTCGGTTTATCGAGGGGCTCCATCCCAGCATTAGGATTAGCATGGTCCGGGAGTTGTAGATGGATATTTCATACCAGCAAGTTTTGGATTTTGCTAGGAGAGTGGAGGGCATGCTTGCTCGGGAGAGAGAGGAGAGGGAGGCTAAGAGGTCTCGAGAGTCTTGCTCCTATACTAGTACTCGTGCTCCAGCTGTAGTTTGCCATGGTAGGGACTATGTGAGTCACCCTGTTCATTTAGCACTTCCAACATCCAGTGGTATTCCGGCTACTCCTAGGCCCCAGAGCCTTATTATGCACTGCCAGTATCTAGTGTACCTCCTACACGGGGTGCTTTCAGCAGTTAGTCCAGTCGACCTGGCTCAAACCAGCCATAGCCGCCACGCCCTCTGAGAGCTTTTTTATAGTGTGGCGACACTCTCCATATGGTGAGGGATTTCCCCAGACTTAGGAAGGGTGCACCTCCACCAATTCCTCAAGTACCACGTGCTCTACAGCACCAGCTACCACTCAACCTGCTCAGCCAGCTCGAGGTGGAGATTGGGGAGGTAGAGGTCGCCCTAGAGGGTGAGGCCAAGCCAGATATTATGCTCTTCCTACTCGTACAGAGGCAGTTGCTTCCGACTCTGTCATTATAGGTATTGTTCTGGTTTGTCATAGAGATGCATCGATTTTATTTGATCCAAGCTCCACTTATTCTTATGTGTCATCTTATTTTTCCATGTATTTGGGCGTATCTCGTGATTCATTGAGTTCTCATGTTTATGTGTCTACACTTGTGGGAGATTCCATTATTGTGGATCGTGTGTATCGGTCGTGTTTGTTGTTCTTAGTGGTTTTGAGACCAAAGTCGATTTATTATTGCTCAGTATGGTAGACTTTGATATTATTTTGGGCATGGACTGGTTGTCACCCTATTATGCTATTCTTGAGTGTCACGCTATGACCGTAATGCTAGCTATGCCAGGATTACCGCGGTTAGAGTTGAGAGGTACCTTAGATTATACTTCCAGTAGAGTTATTTCATTTTTAAAGGCTTAACGAATGATTGAGAAGGGGTGTAACACGTATCTAGCTTTTGTGAGAGATGTTAGTATTGATACCCCTAGAGTTGAGTCAGTCCTAGTAGTGAGGGATTTCCCATATATATTTCTAACTGATCTTCCGGGCATGCCGCTCAACAGAGATATTGACTTTGGTATTGATTTGTTGCCGGGCACTCAGCCCATCTCTATTCCTCCATATCGTATGGGTCCTCTTGCGTTGAAGGAGTTGAAGGAACAATTATAGGAATTGCTTGAAGGAACAGTGTATTTTGGCCCTATCTTGAATCATTCGTCATTGTGTTTATTGACAACATTCTGGTGTACTCCCCGAGTTGGGAGGATTATGAGCAGCATCTGAGGACTGTGCTTCAAACCTTGAGAGAAAAGAAGATATATGCAAAATTCTCAAAGTGTGAGTTCTGGTTAGATTCAGTAGCATTTTTGGGTCACGTAGTGTCAAGTGAGGGGATCAAGGTGGATCCGAAGAAGGTTGAGGTAGTGCAGAGTTGGCCTAGACTGTCCTCAACTATGGAGATCCAGAGTTTCCTTGGTTTGGTAGTGTATTACCGTTATTTGTTGAGGGTTTCTCATCTATTGCAGCACCTATGACCAGGCTGACTCAAAAGGGAGCTCCGTTCAGATGGACAGAGAAATGTGGGGAGAGCTTTCAAAAGCTCAAGGCAGCTTTGACTATGGCCCCAGTATTGGTATTGCCTACAGGTTTGTGGTCTTATATTGTATATTGTGATGCGTCACAGGTTGGTCTCGGCACAGTGTTCATGCAGGACCGTAGGGTGATTGCCTACGCGTCTAGACAACTGAAGACACATGAAAAGAACTATCATGTCCACGACCTTGAGTTAGCAGCTATTATTCATGCCTTGAAGATTTGGCGGCAGTATTTGTACGGTGTCCCTTATAAGATCTACACTGATTACCGGAGTTTGCAGCATCTATTCAAGTAGAAAGATATTAACTTGCGGCAACGGAGGAGGTTAGAGCTGCTTAAGGATTATGATATCACTATTCTATACCATCCCGAGAAGGCCAATACGGTGGCCGATGCCTTGAGTCGTAAGGCGGAGAGTTTGGGGAGCTTAGCTTATCTATCAGTAGCAGAGAGGCCGTTGGCATTGGATGTTCAGGCCTTAGCCAACTAGTTTGTTAGATTGGATATTTTTGAACCGGGTTGAGTTTTGGCTTGTGTGGTCTCCCAGTCTTCTCTTTATGATCGTATCAGGGAGAGTTAGTATGATGACCCCCATCTACTTGTCCTTAAGGACACATTTCAAAACGGTGATTCTAAGGAGGTCACTATTGGATGGTGTATTGAGAATGCAGGGCAGGCTATGTGTGCCCAATGTAGACGATTTGCGTGAGTTGATTCTCCAGGAGGCTCACAGTTTGCGGTACTCCATTCATACGGGTGCCGCGAAGATGTATCAGGACTTGAGGCAGCATTATTGGTGGCGGAGAATGAAGGACATAGTGGAATATGTAGCTCGGTGTCTAAATTTCCAGTAGGTGAAGTATGAGCATCAGCGGCCGGGTGGATTGCTTTAGAATTTAGAGATTCCGGAGCGGAAATGGGAGCAGATCACTATGCATTTCGTTGTAGGGCTCCCGCGGACTCGGAGGAAGTTTGATGTAGTTTGAGTGATTGTGGATAGGTTGACGAAGTCGGCTCATTTTATTCTAGTGATGACTACTTATTTCTCCGAGCAGCTGGCTCGAGTTTATATCCGCGAGATTATTAGGCTTCATGGTGTGCTGGTATCTATCATCTCTAATCGGGGTACGCAGTTCACATTGCGGTTCTGGAAGGCCATACAATATGAGTTAGGTACTGGGGTTGAGTTGAGCACAACATTTTACCCTTTGACGGACAGACATTCTGAGTGCACTATTAAGATACTGGAAGATATGCTCCGTGCATGTGTGATGGAGTTTGGAGGCTCTTGGGATTAGTTCTTGCCACTTGCGAAGTTTTCCTACAACAGCAGCTATCAATCGAGCATTCAAATGGCACTGTTTGAGGCTCTATATGGTAGGCGGTATCGGTCTGTAGTGGGTTGGTTCGAGCTGGGCGAGGCTAGATTACTTGGTACAGACTTGGTTCAGGATGCTTTGGAGAAGGTTAAGGTGATTCAGGATAGACTTCGCACAGCCCAGTCTAGACATAAGATTTATGCGGATCGGAAGGTTCGTGATGTTTCATTCATAGTTGGGGAGTGGGTCTTGCTCCGGGTTTCGCCCATGAAGGGTGTCATGAGGTTCGGAAAGAAAGGCAAACTGAGCCCAAGGTTTATTAGTCCATTCGAAGTGTTGCGGCGAGTTGGGGAGGTAGCTTATGAGCTTGCCTTACCTCCTAGTTTAGCATGAGTTCATCCGGTATTCCATGTTTCTATGCTCCGGAAGTACCACGGTGATCTGTCTCATGTGTTGGATTTTAGCTCAGTCTAGTTAGACAAAGATCTATCTTATGTCGAGGAGCCGGTGACAATTTTGGATAGGCAGGTTCGAAAGCCGAGGTCAAAGAACATTGCTTAAGTGAAGGTTCAGTGGAGTGGTCACCCGGTTAAGGACGCGACTTGGGAGACCGAGCATGATATGTGCAGCCATTATCCTCGTCTTTTCACCACTTCAGGTATGTCTCTATGTTCGTTCGAGGACGAACAATTGTTTTAAGAGGGGGGATATAACGATCCTGTCGGTCGTTTTGAGAATATTAGCCCCGATCCCCTATTTACTGCTTTCTCCGTATTTTTTCTGCTTATGTGACTTGCCGGGAGGTTCTGTTTTGGGTATCGAAGTGTTTTGGGATACTTAGTCCCTAAAACGGAAGCTTGAGTTCTAGGAATTTGATCGTAGTTAGAACTTCGTAAAGACGACTCCGGAATGGAGTTTTGTCGGTTCCATTAGCTCCTTTGAGTGATTTTGGACTTAGGAGCGTGTCAGGATTGTGATTTGGAGGTCCATAGTTGAATTAGGCTTGAAATTGCGGAAGTTGAATTTTTGGGTAATTTACCGGGAGTGGACTTTTGATATCGGGGTCGGATTTCGATTCCGGAAGTTGGAGTAGCTCTGTAATGTCAAATATGACTTGTGTGCAAATTTTGGGATCAATCGGGCATGATTTGATCGGTTTCGGCATCGGTTGTAGAAGTTTGAAGTTTCAAGTTCATTAAGCTTGAATTGGTGTGCGATTTGTGTTTTTGTTGTTGTTTGATGTGATTTGAGGGCTCGACCAAATTCGTATGATGTTTTAGGACTTGATGTTATTTTTGGTTGAGGTCCCGGAGGCCTCGGGTGTATTTCAGGGTGAGTTTTGAGCGAGTCCGGGCATTTAGGCTCTCTGATGTTGTTCTGGTACTTTTGGAAGTGCGGGCCACACATTTTGGAATGCTGAATACTGTATGTAGTTTAAGACTCCTATAAAAAGACGGAAAAAATATGCGCGCATCCGGTGTTTGCATCAAATCTCTTACAGCGGTTATTTGTCATGCATTCTCATTTTAATTTAGGGCTCTTAAGATTTAACTACTTCTGCTGTTGGGTACCAGTTGGAACTTTCTCCTTTTTCAGTATTTGCATCTTAGATTTAATGTGCTACCGTCATTGGGGTTGAGGGTGGATTATTAGTTGCAATTGTTGTCTGATGAACTTAATCTTATTTTTTGTTTCACTTCAGCTATTTAAGGTCTTCATTTGTTGGGGGTTTGAATGTGATTCCTGTGTCAAAGTTTGGCGTTAGTAGTGTTGGTTTAGTGAGGAAGACGGTGGAATGTAAGGAATCAAGAATTGGTAAGCAACCAATAGCAGTACCTTCAAATGTTACACTCACAATGGAGGTTTCCTACGAGAAAGCTTTCTGAATAATTTCGTCATAAACCACATTATATGTTGAATGATCATTATTAGTGTCGGCTGTAGATGGGCGAATCAGTATTTTAACACAGTTTGAACTTTTCGCTCTTGATAAAGCAACATAAAGTGTAGCTTACACAACAATTTTGAAAACAATTCTGCTATAACTTAGACCAACTCCTTGAAGATTTCTGGTAATGGATCTGTGGAAGTAATCGTGTGATAGATATAGTTCCATAATTGAAATTCAAACCATCTTTTTATCAAGCAAATTCAAACCATTTACATGAGATAACTGGATAATAAGTTAGAATCAGTAATGCAATAGGAAGGGAATTGGACAACAGATAAAAAAGAACAAAGAAAATAAACAGCAAAACCACCTGAATAAACCGTGCATTTGATTCGCCCTTCGTGTCTCTACAGCCTTTCTGACCCTTAGGACACTTTGCTCTTCCCTTTCAAGCTTTACTTCTCGTGGATAAGTAATGTCCATCTCTCCTAGAGGGCCCTTCACTTTCAGAGCAAAAAGAAAATGTGGTATTACATAGATGATTTGATTCCTTCTAACAAAAACCAAAGAATTTACAATTATACTTTTATGATCGTGAAAACGAACTAGCCAGCAAAATGGCTTGTTCAACAAGAGTTAACGAATCGATAGTGCAAAAGTTGATGGGCATATTAAAAGTCAATCCACATACTATTTTCCTACGATCTCTCTTAAATGTTCCGAAGTTCACTTAGATGTGACTCAGCCTTAGACCAACGAATATATAACTTACCCGGTGCATCAGAGATTGCAGCAATATGGGAAGAAAATTCTGGAAATACTATTTTTGCACCACATGTACGAATTTATACCCATAGTAATAGAGCTCAATTAGTAAATTATTACTACGACTGTTATGATCCTTTGCAGTATACCTTATTGTTTCCATATGGTGAAAATGGATGGCATTGTGGAATAAAAAAATTGCTCACATGAATAATCTGACAAGGAATAGAGCTCACTGTGAACATGAGCAGCTGCCCAGCACAGAAAATATGTGTTCAGTTGACGGATTTCTCGACATGGAAGTAGAATCGCTGCAAAAAGGAAAACGAAAAAGAGATACAATATCCTGTCGAGAGTATAACTGTTACAAAATTCAAATAAGAGATAATGAAACAAACGAAGTAGTACATTGTGGAAGAATATTTCAACAATTTATAGTAGACGTATATATAAAGCTTGAAACACAAAGATAAGACTTTTTCACATTTAATCAGGATTTATTTAGAACTGAAGTGCTGCAAGGAATTCTTGACATTTTGAGATATGGTGAAAGAGAAGCCTCTAAAATCGGAAAGAAAACATTCCTCCCTGTTACATTTATAGGTGGACCAAGGGATATGCGTTGACGATATATGGATGCTATTGCATTGGTATAGTGTTTTGGAAAACCTGATTTGTTTATAACAATGATGTGTAATCCATCATGGCCGGAAATAAAAGAACATCTACGATCAAGTGATGAGGTATAAAATAGACCTGATTTAGTTAGTAGAGTATTCAGAGCAAAAATAGAAGAACTAAAAAAAGATATATTGAAAAGACAAATCTTTGGAAAAGTTGCAGGATTTATGTACACTATTGAATTCCAAAAACGCGGTCTTCCACATGCTCATTTTCTTATAATACTTGTTGATGAAGACAAATTATTGACTCCATAATCTTATGATAAATTTGTTTGTGCGGAGTTGCTTGATGCTATTAAAGATCGTTATTTGTATTCACTTGTTACTCAACATATGATGCACGGTCCCTGTGGAAGGTTAATTCCGACAAATATTTGCATGAAGAAGGATAATTGCAAATTCAAATATCCAAGAGATTTTGCTGATAAAATGTCAAAAGGAAAAAATTCTTATCCAATATATAGAAGGAGAAAAACTGGAGAATCTGTAAAAATAAGAACTCAGTTTTTAGACAATTCGTGGGTTGTTCCATATAATCCTTTTTTGTTATGCAAGTATAACTGCCATATGAATGTAGAAGTTTATTCTGATATCAAAGTAGTTAAATATATTTACAAATATATTTGTAAAGGACATGATAAAATTGCATTTCATATACACAGCAGTGATACAGATACAAACATAAACGAAATTAATGAATATCAATCGGCTAGATGGGTTTCACCTCCGAAAGATGCTTGGCATTTATTTAATTTCCCAATTAGTGAAATGACTCTAGCTGTGTATCACCTTCAGTTACATTTAGAAGGATAATAATTTGTTTCCTTTAAAAGTTCTGAAAGTATAGATAGAATTATAAGAAATCCGATGATTAGAAAAGAAATGTTAACTGAATTCTTTGTTACGAACCACACAAATAGAGATGCTATGCAACTTTCGTTATTGTATAAAGAATTTCCCAAATACTTTGTATGGTCAACAACATATAAAATGTGGACACGTCGCATAAAAGGCAAGGTTGTTGGACGTGTTGTAACATGTCATCCAACAGAAGGAGAAAGATATTACTTGAGATTACTGTTGATGAATGTTAGAGGACCCAATGACTCTCTGAATGTATTGTAATCCTGGATGAACAGGTAAAATATATCGTGCATTACTGGCAACTATCCAGTCTCAATGATTTATAGCTTTAACAACTACAACTTCTGATGTGGAAGCTTCTATCCTTCCAGGAGGACGAACTGCTCACTCACGGTTCAAAATGCCTATTGATATAGATGATAATTTTCATTGCAACATTATTAAACAAAGTTCACTCATACGTATAATTAGAGATGTAAAATTAATTGTATGGGATGAGGCATCAATGGCAAAAAAGAATATGATTGAAGCTCTTGATGCACTTCTAAGAGATATTATGGACAACGATACAATGTTTAGTGGTAAAGTTGTTGCATTTGGAGGTGACTTTAAACAAACTTTACCAGTTGTTCGAAATGGGAAAAAAGAAGATTTTATTCATCAAAGCTTATTGTACTCTGAAATTTGGAATAAACTTGAGAAATTGTGCCTATCTGAAAATATGCGCAAAAGAACAGATCCTTCTTTTTGTGAATATTTACTTCGAATTGGAAATGGAACAGAAAGAACTAACTGTGAAGACAAAATAGAGATTCCTGGTTCTTTTGTTATTCCTTTTACAACTGAAGCAGAATCCTTAGATGCATTGTTCAGTATAACATATCCTGATTTGCATGCATTTTTTCCTGATTCATCTATGATAACCTCTCGTGTTATCTTAACAACAAAGAATGACTTTGTAAACGAAATAAATAATATGTTGATCACTAAATTCCCAGAAAGGTCTCAAACATTTGTTGCAGTAGATGAAACTATTGAACCGAATTATCAAAGACAGTTTGAAGATTTTCTACATAGTTTAGATCCTCCTGGTTTACTGCCTTATAAGTTAACTTTAAAGGAGAATTGTTCAGTTATATTATTACGAAATCTAAATCCTTGCGAAGGTTTATGCAACGGCACATGGTTAACATGCTGTGACTTTAGAACACATGTCATAAGTGCTAAAATTGAAAGTGGTTATTTCAAAAATACACATGTATTTATTCAGAGAATACCATTGTTAACATCACAAGATGAAAAAAATACCTGTTCAATTTAAGAGAACACAATTTCCCCTACGATTGTGCTTTGCTATGACCATAAACAAAGCTCACGGTCAAACATTAGATTTTGTTGGAATTTACTTACGTGAACCTGTATTTTCTCATGGTCAACTTTATGTTGCTTTATCAAGAGCGAAAAGTTCAAACTGTGTTAAAATACTGATTCGCCCATCTACAACAGATAGTAATGATGATCATTCAACATATAATGTGGTTTATGACGAAATTATTCAGAAAGCTTTCTCGTAGGAAACCTAATAATCTTTAGTTCAACAATGAAAAAAGCAAGTTTTTAATTCCACCTGTGTTTCAGCTACACTACTGCACGACAGCCGGTCCCAAGCCCGGAAAAAGGAGGAGGGTCTACTGTCTATCTATACTTTGCAATTCTAAAATGCAGGATGATTAGTGAAGCAACATATATTGGATCTTCCAAAATCAATAAGGTATATCTGTTTTAAGGTTCTTCCGAGTTGCTTTATTATAATTTTTTTCCCATTGTATGCCTTTAGTCGAAGTTGTTTCTTTTATGAATCTTTATTTACACAACAAAAATTTTGAGGTGGACCATATAGTTCGCACGTGCGGCATTGTCTCGCTAACAAATTATTTATTTGGGCATGACGCGTACATAACAACCACCAAACATGTCACAAGGTCCATAGGTTCAATTACGACATGACTTTTCAATTACTACAAATCATTCTCTTTAATTTCTCTATTTTTGATTTCTTGCTCGGCATCCGATATTTGTATAGGGACCTGATTAAATTCGGATTAGCACCGAAAAGTATTATATTGAGAGTAAACTCTGTTGTTACTGATTGGTATGGCTCCAATACTCCCTCCTGGGGGACTCACAAATGTTTGTCTCCATTTTGCTTACAAAAATATCAAAATTTTATCTCTTTTCAATTATGTAAATCTGGAGTTATCTTGGATGTACCTTTTGTTTAAAACTTCTCACCGTATAAATTTGTGTTTGCAGAACTCCAGAGTTACAATGCTGCTATAGACCATACAGCTCTTATATTACTTCTTCTTGCTTTTATCAGAACCAAATAAGTAGTAGCAACAAACCTTCATGTCCATTGCTCGAAATCTCTATGAAGCAAATCATGATCGACATGACTTCGTATGCAATGGTGAGATTTTGCTTCTTATCTCAGAATTTATATTATATAAATCTCGATCTTTAATATTGAAGCAAGGACATGACTATTAAACCAAATTAAAATTAGAATGAGATTTTTTTTAATACCACAATGCCATCCGTTTTGAGTATAAGATTGTTGCATTAATAGTTGTTTCAGGGACATTTCTTCGATGTGTCCCAAGTACAACACTCTCTTCTAGTAGTACTCTTGTTGTAATGTATGGACCTTTCCAATCTGGAGCCAATTTTCCTTTAGTTGCTCCAAGTCTTTGTTTTCTTTTCTTGAACTTATTTTCATTGCATTCTAATCCTTGATTCATTATTTCGGAGTCGGACATCATATTAAGATCTGGGCATGAAGTCCACAAGCATGTCATGTTATTGAAATCTACATTTAACAGAACTAAAAAGAGAATAAGAAAAATAACAAGATTTAAGAAAAGAGACATTCCTGGACAAAGAAATATTATTTTCATTTGATTTTTTGTTTGATTTTTTTTCAATTTTTAAAGATAGAAGGGTTTACATCGGAAAGTAAGACAAGAAAGTAAAACATCCGGATCACACCCTGAGATAATCCGAACACAGAAAGGATAGCAAGACTGACTACTAAGACTCCCGTCTGATGGGGAACTTTCATGCTTGGCGACCATTTTTTGGCTTTTCTTCTGTCTCGGCAATGACTGTAATGGCCTTCAGTGCTGGATCAAATTCCTCATCTTTACAGATCATTCTGACTATTGGCCCGATGTTGTAGGCAGGAAAAAGATTGTTCATCACATCAGGAGCTTCTTCATCCCGAAAAACAATTCTTTCAGCTTCAATCAAATCTTCAACTGCCCTTTTGAGGGTCCAACATGTTCCCAGAAAAAAGATACTTCTGCGGCGACATTCGAACATTCTCTACGTTGGATATAGAAGGTCCATGTAGAGCTTTCTACTTGATTTGATGTATCTTTCAATACATTGAGATCTCAGCTTCTGTCAAAAGATTCTACTTCTTGTTTCAATCTGCTTACTTTTGTGTGATGTCTTAGAAATTAACATAGAAATACGTTGTTCTACAACCAATATAATATCTAATATGTTTGTTAGAAAACTAATACTTCTTTAACACTGTTCCTATCAATCAAAATTCTATATGTAACTGGTGAAATTTGATGGTTCATTTTTTAATCTTCTGCTATCTACTTAAGTTCTTGTCATGGATGATAACGTTAGTAATTTGTAAGTATTAGTGGTGGTGATCATAAGTGCAACTTATTAGAATGAAGTGAAAAGTAGTACTACTTGTTAAAAGTAGGACCTCTTGCTAATTTCTTGATGTAACATTGAACTCTACAGTTCTTTTGATTTCAAGGAAACTTGTACGCTTTATTTGTTTATCCTTTATGTTCTTGTTTTTAATTAAGCTGCCTATTTTTCTTCCATTACATACGCTGCATAAAAATGGGTGTATTTGTTCTATTTATTAAAACTTAGCAACTTCCTGTCTCTTTCATTTATTTGCTCCACTGCATTGTATCTTCAGTTGTAGAATTTGCTCAACTCTGCCTCTACTAAAAATATCTATGTTTAGCTTTTATTGCCTGCTAATTTTCTTTATTTTATCGTACTTTACCAACACTTTACATCAACAATTCGTTAGTTTGTTCTGTGCATCGTCTCTGCAATGCATACTGATGTTCATTGTTATGTAGTGTATACATTTTATTTGTAAGTTTTGGTTTAATTTATGTGAAACTTTTACAGACGAAATTACCAAGATGTCTAGGCTGGGCAAAAATGTGGACTCAATATGCTGGCAAGAAAAAGGAAAACGCTAATGCTATGAAGAAAGAGGCACCAAAATAAAATAAAGACGCCGTGAAATATATAGGGCAACATCAACTGATAGAAGAGAACTGAACTTATTGCAGCGACGATCGACATATCTTCATTCTAGAATGCAGAAGCCAATCAGTAGTTCCACTGAATTATCAACTTCTTATCAGTTTAATGGAGAGCTTGCTGAACAAACAGTTGCTCTAAGAGGAGGCTCATCTTCTATTTTGAGAACAGGTTTGTAACTTAGATTTTGTTATCCTGAACTGAACTTTGAGACATTAAACATTTACATATTTAATACGTTCATAACACCTTTTTTTTGTCTTAAAAAATATCTCCATAGTTCAGGATTTCCTTGTTTCTAATAATGTCAGAGATGTACGTGATAGCTCCTGTATTTTTGAAGTTGGTAAGTGTGGAAGTATGGTATTCAAATTTGTAGAGTGTTTCAACAGCCAGACTTACATGCTTGATTCCTTATATCTTAGGGTCCACATTGGGAACATGTGCTGAACAGAATGATATTACTATGCATAACACTGCAAATAGAGGTTTGGTTTCTTATAGCTTTAAAGTCATTTTAGTCATTTATTTTTCAAGATTGAAGATTCAATGTTAGAAGATTTTAAGATTCTACCGAACACGAATGCGAAAGATATTATATTCTTTACATGACTTTAAATCATATTAATGACATTTTGCATTTGATGGGGCATGATATTAATGAATATAATTTTGTGCCTGAAAGAATTACATTATCACCAGCTGTTAGAGAAGCCAAAGATTGTCATTTCGAAAGAAATATTATTGTTCGAGAAGAGGATTTATTACTAGAGGCAAAGTTGAACACTGAACAACGAAAAGCATATGATAAAATTCTTAACAGGATATTTTCTAACCAATCAGGTGTCTTTTTTATTGACGAACCTGGTGGAACTGGAAAAACTTTTTTATACCATACTTTGTTGGCTGTTGTACGATCAAAAGACTTTGTCGCTTTAGCAATAGCAACTTCAGGGGTTGCGGCTTCAATACTCCCAGGAGGACGAACTGCTCACTCCCGTTTTAAATTTCCTATTGAAATTGATGAACAATACTCTTGTAATATTAGTAAACAAAGTTCATTAGCAGCTATAATACGTGATGCCAAACTCATTGTGTGAGATGAAGTATCTATGGCAAAAAGGAAATTGATAGAAGCTTTTGATGTTCTCTTGAAGGATCTGATGGATACAAAAGGTCCATTTAGGGGGAAAGTAGTTGTTTTCGGTGGTGACTTTAGACAAACCCTCCAAGTTGTTCGGAATGGAAAAAAAGAAGATTTTATTCAAGAAAGCTTATTGTATTTTAAAATTTGGAATCAATTTGAGAAAATGCGACTATCAGAAAATATGCAAGCTAAAACAGATCATGCTTTTTGTGAATATTTGCTGAGAATAGGAAATGGAGAAGAAAAAACAGATAACTATGATAAAATAGAAATTCCTGATTATTTTGTTATTCCTTTCATTTCTAAATGAATCATTAGATCTTTTGTTTAGAGCAACTTTTCCAGATTTACATACATGTTTCGATATGTCTTATATGACTTCACGTGTAATTCTGACGACAAAAAATGACTTTGTTGATGAAATGAATGAGTTGCTCATAGCTCAATTTCCTGGAGATGCTAGAACATATGTTGCATTTGATGAAACTATTGAAGCGAATGATCATAGTCAATATGAGGATTTTTTGCATACATTACATCCCGCTGGTTTACCTCTTCACAAATTGACAGTAAAAAAGCATTGTCCTGTTATTCTGTTACGAAACTTAAATCCATCCCAAGGTTTATGCAATGGCACACGGCTTATATGTTGTGACCTTCAAAAGCATGTTATAAGTGCCAAAATTGCAAGTGGAGATTTTAAGAATGCACATGTATTTATTCCAAGAATACCATTGTTATCATCTGCTGATGAAAAGTTGTCCTTAAATAAAGCTCAAGGTCAAACATTGGACTTTATTGGAATTTATTTACGCGAACATAAAGTATGTATTTGTTTATTTTAATACAATAACTGCTCACACGGGAAAACAAAAATTCATAATACAAAGTGTACTTTATTCATGTATGATTTCAACCAAACACTTTTTTATATCTATGATTTTGAGCGGTAACTCAAAGGAAACAATCACCTCGAAATTTGAGAACTATAGTGTTTAAATCCGTTCAGCATACAAATATAAGTTATGTAATTAAAACAAAAATATTTTTTTTTAATCAAAATCCAATTTCTAGTATAAGTTATGCAACCATATCCAACAACATGGAAACCTTGCTAATCTACATCCTTCTGAAGCTCACTGTCTCACAGCAAATATCAACATCATAGCAAACACCAATATTTACCATAGAATTTAACAAACTCTCGAAAGACATTGTGTTTCCTCTGAGAGGAAACTTTATATTTTTGTTGATCAAGTATCTGCAGTTAGCATCGGATGACTTCAGGCAAATGGTTGTACTCTTTACAGAATCCAATGGCTTTGGTATGTTGTAAAGCTCACCATAATCTAATAGAAAAAGTTTTCACTAAATAACAAAGAGGCGAATGTTGAAAGGAATAGATGCAGATGTTGTGAAGCAGATGATGAACACAAAGTCTTAAAATGCTCTACACCTCCTTCGAAACTCTCAGAAAAGTAATACAGACAATCTGTTTGTTTTACTTTCACTTTCTCAATTCTGTTTAATCTGACTTTCTTATTCCATTTTCTAGTGCATTTTTGTTGTATAAATGCAGTGCAGTTACCATTAACCATCTTCTTGTTGTTTGGCTCCAAGTTAAAATTATAAAATACTACTAATTAAGTAATTATTTATCAATATAATATTATTAACCACAAGCTTACCAACAAAAGGATAATCATAAAGCAATATAAAATTTTGTGGGAGTACCTGCAATAGCCTTATTTGGTATATCAAATATCAAAGGTAGAGCCTCATTCTCATCGGTCCGGTGTCTCATCAACACCAACAAATATTTTCAATCCTAAGGAAAGAGCGTATGCTGCCTCATCCCCAACGCTCCAACAA